AATTCTGGGAGTTGAAGTCCACGCATCTTAAAGTTCCCAAGGTTGAGAAACACTGCCTTACACTTTCATCTAGTGCTGCAAAGGCTGTGAATGTCTTGTAGAAATTGCACCTGGATCCTCATATTCTAAAAGGAAGCTAATCCAGATGCTCCATCTTCCTTCTGGTCATTGGTAGGGAATGCAAAGTGTTCTGTCCCAGGGTGACTCAACTCCCAAATGATCCAGATGTGGTCCAGTCTTGGCTTCTTCCTGCTTAGGGCCAGGCCTACTTTGCATCTATTCATTCGTGTTTTCATGCTACTACTCAAGCCGTTGGTGGTTTGTTTCACAATGCTTGATAGGGAAGTGCGAGAAATGGTGGGGAGGCTGGGGAAGGAAGAGGTTTGGGAGATTGATTGATTGATTATGTGCCATCAAGTTGGTGTTGATTCTTCATGGCCACATAGTTCGATTTTCTCCAGGAGGATCTGCCCGCAGCCTGGTCCTTCTGGTCTCCCAGTGGTGTCCCCATCGCCTCTGGAATTGAGTCCATCCACCTTGCTGCTGGTCCTCCTCTGCTTCTCTTTCCTTTGAAGAAATTAGGCAGGAACAATCAGGAGATTAGGAGATTAGGCAGAAACAACAATCAGATGGAAGGCGAGTCTGTTGGGAGCCGATCTCAGAAATGGCAACCGAGCATGGGTGGTGAGAAACCTCGGAAGAAGCGTTTCAGGTCACTCCAAGAAACTGCCTGAATTAGATGAAGCTGGGAAATGTCTTTTGCGGCTCCCAAGAGTTTGGCTTTATCCCAGGACTAACATTAACGATACCTTCGGAAGGCGGCCTAGTTCTCGTTTCCTTGGTCTTGCCAAGCTGCGCAGGGCCAGAAAAAGGCTCTGCCAGCCAGGGCAGGATGCCCCAAGACCAGCCGCAAGGGTTTTCTGTGCAGGTGGGAGGGATCTCGGACACCTTCCTCAGAAGGACGGTTACCAAATTGGGAGAGCATCCCTTCAGATCTAGAAAGACTTCATATCTAAAAAGGAAATCCAAGGTAGAGTTTAACTCTAACTGGAAACTATTCTTGGATTACAATTTCATACATGAAATTGTGCCCCATCCCAAATTTGGGATTTCTTCACTGTATTGATATATATTTCCCAGCATTGACCCAAGGGATTACTTCTGCCATTGTCCGTCTGTCTGTCTGTCTGTCTGTCTATCTGTCTGTCTTTCTCTCTCTCTCTCTCTCTCTCTCCTTCCT